TGCCTATAGAATCAAGTGACTAGCAGGGACAGCAGCACCAACTGCTTCTGCCACTAAGCATGAAACTAGAAGATGCTGTTCTTGGCTGTATTCAGGTGTACTTTAAAAAAATTACTGTTAATGGGTACTTAGAATAGTTTCCTTGGAAAGGATTGGAAATTAATTACATTGGATTGGAAATGCTAGGGGAAGAAGAGACCATTATTATCACAGATAATCTTCTAGGTTTAACCATATAGTCAAGGTACACATATCTCACAGGCTATGTGTTAACACCATGGAAGATGCTGAAGCATAAAAGGGAGTTTACCAAACCCATCCCATCTGATTTTAGTGCAACAATTAATAATAAGACTTAAAAAAGTAGAATCTGGGAAATACCACATTGGATATGATACCAAGACAACAAACATAGCCCAGAATTATCCCAAGAAAACCTGGATGGATGGCCACCTTATCTACACACTACTCATACTTTTGTAAACAGTCCTTTGTGAATAAACCCTCTGGACTCATCCTATTTTGAGTGTGCCATCTGTTTTCTGTTGAGTTCCTGGCAGATACAGTGGAATAAACATATTTTCATAATATATTGTTACATGACAAAAGCATGTTGCAAAGTAGAGTGACAGTATGATCCAAGCTAAGTATGCTAGGTAGTTACATATATAAAATTGCATAGAAAAAAATCCTGGAGATGTATAAATCAAAACATCACTTAAAAGTGTCTCTGCACAGCAGGAATATGAATGACTTTTTGTCCTTTCCTGTTTTCTTTATATGTATTTTTAAAAAATACATTTAGTAAGCATAAATTGTGTTTGTAATAAGAGAAATAAATTATTTTTCACAATTCCTTGTGAGTAGGGATGTGGGTATTATATTTCCTCTCTGCAGTGTAAGAGTGTGATTCTCATGGGCTGTGCTGTATTCTCTAGCATGCATTGATCACATTAGGAATAGCACCTAAGTTGCTTCCAGTTCTCTACTATAACAAGCAATACTCTAGTAAAATTCTCTCATAGGTTTTCACTAGAGACCTATGGAGAATTTCTCTGGGATATTCCCAAGGAGTCTTATTGCTGGTCATAGGGTATATCTAAACATGAGGGGGAACTGCCAGACTCTTCTCTATAATGACAACATTAGCCTACAGTCTCAGCAGGGTGCCTCTATGTCCACACTCTCACAAATGCCCTGTGTTATCCAATTTTCTGATGCTGTCTGCCAATCATCATCTGATGATGAGTGTAAAATGATATGATATTGTTATCTTATTTGTATGTCTCAGTTACAAAGGAGTTTGTCTCTCCTATACTTTGTTTAGCCAATTGAATTTCTTCTCCTGTGATTGCCTGTTCACGTGCTTCACCCATTTCTTTGTTGGATACTATTTTTCTTTGTTGATTTCCAGGATTTCCTTGCATATCCCCAAAGTATTCAAAGTAAACTACAAATCCAAGAAAGTTTCTTTATTAAACACAAGTGGTCAGCTTTCAGTTGTTCCTAGTAAGTGTAAGGTATAAAGGTTTGACCAATAAATTTAGACTCATTCATATTTAGTTTCAGAATGTGACAGAGGCACATACTCATCTGACAGCACATCCAATCTCAATAACGTCACCTGGAGCCTCCATTTGAAAGTGAACACTCTTCAAGTGGATGGCTTACTCACAGATGGAAATAGACTTCAGGTGTCAAACATACTAGCTCTTACAATCATGACCAAACTGGTTATTACAGAAGGTGTTTTTAGTTCAACTTAATAGGGATCATTCAAGTAATGGAAACAAATAACAAATGCATTAATAATAATTAATATTTATTGGGCCTTACTTTGTGGCAATCACCAAGCTAGGTGCTTTACATACATTTTACATCTTGATCATATAGGTGCTACTAACATTCTTATTTTACAGATGTGACAACTTAGGTTTGAAGAGCTGAAGAACTTGCCAAAGTCCACACAGGTAGGAGCTATAAAGTCCAGAAATGGACCCCACTTAAGCTGGGAGAATTACATCAAAAGAAAAAGCAAGCTCTATCACAGTTGTTCTTTTCAGTTATACTAATAAATAATACTAAGAATTTGATAAACTGTCTCGAAGAAGCTTTATAAAGATAACAGAAAATGAAAGATTGTAAGGCCTTTTGAGTATAGTTCCACCTGCTAAACTTATGAGTGTAGAAAATGGAGCTCAGAGAGGTGATCCCATTTGTTCAACAGTATACTGCAATATTTAATGGAGCTGGGACCAGAATCTGTACTTTTCTCTAGGTCCAGGTATTTTCCTTTAATTACTAGGAAAAATCTGTGACTCTACACTTCACAGCACATCAATAATTAGCCATTCACCAGAGGGTTTTTGATAAGCGCAATGGTGCATTATTATAAAAACTAGATATGAAATATGAAATATTCCTCTATCTCTGACTAGACATGGAATATGAAATATTCCTCTATCTCTGACTAGACATGGGATATGAAATATTCCTCTATCTCTGACTAGACATGGGATATGAAATATTCCTCTATCTCAATCTCAGGCAAGACCAAATACTGTGGTTTGAGGAGTAGATAGGGGCAAGATTCTTGTGTGTATACATATGCATACACACATGTTATCTATGTGTGCATATGTGTGTGTATATATATATATACACATGAATATATGTACACATAGATATGCATGTATTTGCAGTTGTAAATGTGGGCTAAGTCTTTTTAAAAGTGAAGAGAGCTAATAGAAGTCATTTTTGGAATGCAAAATTGTTTCGGATTTTCACCAATGGATGTTGTGAGGAAAGATGATTTTCAGGATTCTTAGCGGTGGAGTTTGAGAGACTGAAGGAGCCAAGTGCAGTGCGTGGAGTGCGGGAGAGAGCCCTACCAAACACAGGGCCCAAGATGAAAGAAATGACATTCCAAGGTTTGAAAAAACAGGGCTCTGCCCCAGGTTAGAGAATCACCCAAAGATAGACACAAGTCAGTAGCTCTCAGAGACTAGTACCTGTGGAAAGCTTTAACACCTAATAATCGGTGTGAATGTTAACCACAGTAGTGGAATTTGAGAGTATACTCCCGACCTGGGTATGGGCAGAGAAAGAGAGTGGGGAATAAAAAAATCAGTGAAAGAATGGATGAGGAGGCTTTGGAACCAGGGGTCTGTCCAGTACAGACAGGAATTCTTTTTCTTTCTTCCTATTGGAAGGGACATCACAGAGAGGACTTGAGGACTTCTCCTAGGCACAGGAGGGAGTTATAAAGCCCTCCTTTCATCAAAGCTCTGTGTTTCCTTGGCAGGGTTGGGGAGGATGGGAAGGAGGAACAAAGAACATAGTTGCAAACTGTAGCTTCCCATCTTCCATGGAAGTACTCTGGAGATGCTTATTAGGGGCCAAAGAAATGCAAGGGGGGTTGGAGAAGCAAGCCAAAGAGAAGGCAGTGGAAAGAATCTGGAAATAGAGTTGGAAGACCCAGTTCCAGCAGGAGGAGCATGAAGGAGACAGGTGAGGTGGGGAGTGAGAAACCCTTGGTGGGTTGGCTGGACAGAGGCCAGCAGGGTGGTGGAAATTGGCTGTTGGTGCCAGGAAAAGAATGAATTGAGTGAGAGACCATGGGAGGGTGGGGGAAGAGGGCACGGGTCAGGCTCTGCAGGAATCAGACATCGAGTGAGAGATGATGTTGATTGCAGCTGTCCACCATCCATTCTGCTGATTTGTGTTGGCAGGACGAGGGTCTGGATGGGAGTTAAGAGTAGTAGGCGGGGGAGGAAGCAGGTGCTGCAGGGGGCTGCTGAGGGTCAGGGCGTTTGCAGTTGGGGCCAGCATGAGTCACAGCACTGCTCCTCCCACCATATGCTTCCCAAGAGTGGGATTCCTTTTAGTCTTATAGTTTGCAGAGTGCTTATTCTAGACCCACTTGCGTTCTGAGAAAGGCTGAGACACCCTAAAAGAGCATGTCGGCTTGGGTTCTTTGGAAGGAGCTCCTTAAGGAGTGCTCCATCTTTGTCAAGGCCCTGGAAAGCTCCAGGCTGGGACTGCAGAGGGTGAGCATCTCTGCAGCAAGAGTATGGGGCTGTGGACCTGAGGGCTCCCTTGATGCCTGGAGGTCTTTCTGGCCTCCTGAACTTCCTCCTTTCCCATTTTTCATGGTAGCTGCTTGGATGGGAAGGTATCAGAGAAGACTCTCTGTAGAACAAGGCCAATCTAGGGAAGCCCGCAGGGGAAACTGGGTCAAGCTATGAGCTGTGTTCTCAAAGCTCTTTCCTCTTGTTCTTCAGCATTTCTAGGAGATGAAAAAGAGGCAAGTAAGGAGGAGAGAGTGCCTTTAAAGTAAGATGAAGAGGGACTTACTGCCTGTCATCTCCAATTTTTGTAAGCCAGTTGTAAGAGCTGTACTCCTTCATTAACTGAATATCTTTTTAAGGTCCCATTTCACATACCTATTCTAGAGACTGTAAGCCACCCCACACTGTCACATCCCAGACCCTAGCCACCCAATTTTGTCTATCTAAGTTTGTTGTTCACTTGACATTAGTCCATTTCTTCTCTTATTCTCTACTCTTGGTAGCTTCCTAGAGGCCTAGGGCTGATAGGACCGAGGGAATGATGAGTGACAGAGGTCTTGAGAAGAAAGACTAATGTCAATCCAGTAAAGAAATGGAATCTTTTAGGTTCTTCCCTTCCTCCTCCCTCTCTCCTTACTCTCTCTCTTTTCTTCCTTCTGCCCTGCCTTTCCCTTCCCTTCCCTGCCTTTCCCTTCCCCCCTCCCCTCCTGCCTCCCCTTCCTTCTCCTTCCCTCCCCTCCCCTTTTTTCCCCTTCCCCTCCCCTCCCTTCCCCTTTTCCCTTGCCTTTCTTCTTTCTTTCATTTTCTTTCTTCTCTTTCTCTCTTTCATAGACTCATTAAGTTATAATTTATATAGCATATAATCTCCCATTTAAAGCATACAATTCCGTTTCTTTAAATCGTATTCACAGAGGTGTGTATCATTTCAAGTTTAGAACATTTTCATTGCCTCAGAAAGAAGCTTTACACGCCTTAGCCAACTTCACTGCAACACTCCCATTGCCCCTTGCCCCAGCCCTATGTAACAACCAATATGCTTTCACTGTGAGAGTTTTTTAATCCACCAGTCAACTCAACCCAGGACACTATGTATACATGGTACGCTATAGAGCCTAGAAACTGCTTTCCTATGTTCGCTATAGTTTTGTTCTTTTTATCAACTCATTCAAGTAAGCAGGGCAGATGGTTGGTTGTGTCTCTCACTTTTCAGGTGGGTAAACTGGGGCATCACTAAATGACGACATGTCAGCTTCAGTAGAGGGATGGAGGGATGTGGCCCTTCGCATCTATGAAAGAAAAGTAAAAGGGAGTTTGTGAGTAACATTAACATTTCCTTCAGTGCTCCTCAAAATTTAGAAAAATGAAGGCAAGAAAGAAGATGAAGAAGCAAGAAGAAAGGGCTGAGACTGCTTTCAGAGCGATCAGGGTGAAACACCTGTTAGAATGCTCTAATTGGGATTTATGGGCGGCTGAAATGCACCGTCAGAGGTAGTCGCAGTATCTCCCTTTCTTGGAATTAAAACAAACAAACAAAAAAAAAAGCATAGCAGAAAGCTCTCTGGCAGGATTTATTTTAAGGAGCAGTTGTATCTAGAGGCAGGCAAATGGATTAGGTGGCTCTCCAGCCTCGGTACTAGGACACCACATAGGCAGGTGGCAGAGGCATGCTACCCATGCTTACATGAAGTTATTCATAGGCCCTATAAAGAGGAGTTCCTATCTATTTTTGGTCCTTCTGTCTGTAAAGTGAGAAACTGTCTGCTTCCTCAGCTGTGGACAAAGCACTCTATGAGACATTGTAGAAACTAGAGAAAAGGCCAGCATAACCCTTGCCCTTCAATTCAACTTTTATTTGAATAATAGATAACCAGAAACAATAGCCTATCAGTGTGTTCTGATTATCTGCTGCTGTGCAATACACTACCTCAAAGCTCAGTGGCTTAGAAGAGTCAATGATCATCGTGGCTCCCAGTTCTGTGTGTTGACTGGGCTCCACGAGGCAGTTCTTGCTTGGGCTCTCTTGCAGTCAGATATTGGCTGGGGCTGCAGTTTTCTGAAGGCTCTAGAGAGTTAGTCATCTGCAATGGCGCACTCACAGGGCTGATAGTTGCTGCTCAATGGAGGCTGTTAAGTGGTCCAACCTCAGATAGAATTTCCACATGGCTTGGGCTCTTCACAGCATGATGGCTCTGTTGTCTGCAGCATCCAGGTTGGCTTTACTCACATGCCTGGCACCTTGATGGGAACAGTTAGAAGGCTCATCTGGGCTCCCCTTCCTCTCCACGCAGTCTTGGCACTTCCTCACATGGTCTCTCCAAACCAGTAGTCAGAACGTCAGTTCATAGCTCTAAGTGACCAAGACAAAAGTTATCAGTCCTTCCAAAGTTTAGGCCTAAACTGGAACTGTGTCACTTCTGCTGTACTCTGAGGGTCAAAGCAGTACTGCCCATCTCAGTACTGCCCATCTCAGTACTGCCCATCTCAGATGTAAAAGGAGAAAACAGATCCCATCTTTTAACGGAAATTGTGACGAAGAATTAGTGATTCTCTTTACTCTTCTAGGCAGTGGAGGGGAGTCACAGGAGAAGAATGCATAGTGGCTTGAAAAGGAAATAGACAAAAGGGTGTATTTGAACAAAGCCAGGAACATAAGAATTGGGCTAGAGTGTTATACATTAAAGTTGAAAAGTCCTGGAATAATTAAAACAACTGAGTTAAATGAGCTACATCTAGGAATAATTTATTCATTAATTTATTTAATAGTCATTTTTGGGGACCATAGGTAATATCAAGCACTCATACTACAAAGATAAATAAGACACAGCCCCTGCCTTCTAGATGCTCAAAGTTAGGTAGTCCATGCATAGATGATCCCCCAAGTCCCCCCAAAACGGTTCTTTGCTTACTATGCTGAACAAAATGAACTACAGTTTATATCTAAAGCCTACACAGAAATAATGCTGCAAAGATATAATGTTGTTGGCACAGATATCCTGCTTTAGCATGGTATCAGATAAAAAAAGAAAGAAATATTAATCATTTCTAACAAAAATAGTTGAAAGATATTGGACAGAGTGGCCAAAGTAAACAGATGTCTCTGGAGATTCCTTCTGGTGGGTATAAGTGCCTTCACAGAACATTATTTGGAAGCAATGGGGTATGCTCAAGATTCTTGGGTTCCACTAAAATTGCCCAGAGGTCTTGAGAAAACAGGGGTTATAATTCACGTTTCTGGATCAGATTTTTTGACATATCCAGCAGGACTCCCAGGAGGGATGTGAGGCTGCTGGATTCAGGAATGTAGCCTTGCTGTTGTACAACATGCATATCACAGCCCCATTCTAAACACAAGGCATGATTCTGAGCAAAAGGGAGGAGACGGGGGGTGTACGGCAACAGAGAGAAGCAACCAAGATGGAAGCAGAGCTGGACAACGGCACCGGAGGCATGAGGAATGAAGAGGGAGTGGGGACCGCGTATACAAACTGGCATCAGCCACAGCCAGTTGTTGGATCTGATTTGATCGGAAGGCAAGTTGGTTGAAGAAAACCCAGCATTTTTAGCTAGTTTGGCTGTTTTTTAAAATTGCATTTTAGGTTTGTGGGTACATGTGAAGAACATGCAAGATTGTCGAATAGGTACACACGTGGCAGTGTGATTTGCTGCCTTCCTCCCCATCACCTACATCTGGCGTTTCTCCCCATGCTATCTCTCACCAACTCCCCACCCCTCACTGTCCCTCCCCTATTTCCCTCCCGACAATCCCCACATTGCAGCACTGTTTACAATAGCAAAGACTTGGAACCAACCCAAATGCCTGTTGATAATTTGGCTGTTTTAAAAATTGAATTGATCAGTTTTAGTGGGAAGATCTAGCCACGATATCATACTGAGCCGCACAGAAAACACAGGGAAAAGGAAGATGGTCCCTAGACAGGTGGTAGAGAAAGAGGACACTGTTTTAAGCACTGCACTTCTTGGCTTGCCTCAGACTTTGGACTAGAGTCAGGATGAAGACCAGGGAGAAAACACTCTAGTAGAGGGAGGGGATTTACAAGGAAGAAGATGCATCATCTCTCCCTCTTTTCTGCAGTGCACTCTTCGCATCAGCACCCACACCTTCCCCAAAACCCTGCTGTTGTACCTTTCTCTTGCCTAATGACCCAGGTAATTTAGGTTTGCAGGAGAAAACATGCTTCTAAGTTTTTCATTTCAGACTACCAATCTGGCCCTACTGTTTAACTTTCAATTCTGCTAGCACTTGACAATAGGAGACTGGTTCTCTAGTTCCATGACCTTCTGCCTCAGTTCTTTCTTACCTCTGGAAACATGTTCTCTCCTTTTCTTCTCATTCTGGACATACTTTAAAGCCTTTCTGCACAAAGAAGTTTCCTGGATCACTCAAGATGAGCTCCCTGCTCTTCTCACTGATATGTTCATTTGTTTAACAGCCCATTTATTCATTTATTTACTTGCTGAATGAATGCTATTTGATGAACATACTTATTCAGTATCTACTATTTGCCAAACACTAGGCATATAGAGTTTGATTGTGAAGGAGAGAATTCTCAACTCCTGTAGCACTCACACGGTGAGTGTCATGCTGTACATTGCTAGCTGTATTTTTCATGCTCTCTTTCTGCTGTTAGTTTGTTTTAATCTGTAAAATACTTTTTCTTAAAGGCAGATAACCTGTCTTCCAGTTCTCTTTATCCCCTCAAAAGCCTTGCGGTTATGAAACTCCCTAGAAGCATAAAGGGGTTGGAAGTCCTTGAGAGCAGTGGGCTGGTTGCAACAAGTGCATGACAGGCTGGAGCGCGGGAGAAGGGATGGACATGTGCAATTTGATGGCTGTAAAAGGAAACAAGTCCACTTGTGTGACTACTGGAGCCTAAAATCAGAGCAGAGGAAGGATATTTTCCCTGTTTAATATCGGCGTATTCATGAGGAAGGCCTCTGAGGAGTCCTGATTTGTGCTGCCTCATATTCCAGGGATCCAGGAACATAAGGCCCAGCCTCTCCTCTGAGCAACAATGTAGAACAGCATAGGGATTGAGTGGGCGATCCAGACAGTTAACATGGGTGCTGAGCAGCGCGCACCCAGGCTGCCTTACCACTTAGGAGGTGTCTTGGGCAGGCAGCAAGGTTACATGTGAACAGTCATAGAGGCCAAGGCTCCCTTCTAGAATTCTAGATTGTTGCTGGAGGAAAGACTCCACCTTACCCATCCCCCTTCCCTCTGATTTATTCAGGTTATATATGGACACCCAGATGGGGTGGATGCTTTGAAGAACACATGGTTCAGTCAGAAAACTGAATGGGGAGTCAGGAAGGCTGTTGTAGACTTAATCTTGGCTCTAATGACTTGTGCGACTTGGGGCGATCCTTTTTCCTCTGGGCTTTCGTTTTCCCATCTGAAAAGTAAGGGAGCTGAAATAGTTCAGTCATTTTGTTCAACTTTTTAAACAGTAGAAGCCTTTCATCCAACAAATCATAATGCAGAAGTCCAGGATATGGGGCATGTAGAGGCAGACCTGAATTGCCTGATAAGACCCAGAAGGGAATAAATAGACCCCTCACTCACTCAAGACTTCCTCTCCCTTCCTCTGCCAAACACACCTTTCGAAAAACGCTTGACTAGAAGGGGGGACTCTATGAGTTTTATCAATTGCCAAAATTTTACAATTTTGGTTAATTGTGAAATTAACCAAAATTAATGTTAAGAGGCTCATACCCAGTATAAGCATTTTAATAAATCATGCAGACTTACTACTCTCTATCCTTGTGTTAACTATTAATAAAACTGGAAGTTTTAACATTTAATATAGCTGGAAGTTTTAACATTTTCTTCCCACATCTCAGTGGCTTATCTTGCTCAATTCCTAAAGTACACATACCCCGGTTTGCAAACCACTGGCCCCCAGGGATCCCTGGGTTCTTTCCAGTCCGGCTGTTCAAGGAGTCTGTGCCTGGAGTGCCAGCATTTCCCAGCCTTATTTATTGCTCAGAAGAAACAATTTTCTGGGTTTCTGGGAGTGCGAGAGCATAACAGCCATCATGGGGAGATAAAAAAAATACTCTACTAAGAACTGAAGACTCTGTCAATGTCTCAGTTGGCCAGGCCCGCTCTACTGGCTCAGCCATCTCCCTGGGACTCTTCCTGCACACACCTGTAGTCTCTCCAGTCTCCTGGGAAAATTTCTCAGCATGTGTTTGGCATGTGCCTCTCTTGTAGCCATGAACCAATAGCCCCAAACCAGGCCATACTGGGGATTTCTCAGAACTCTTCTTATGAACAAAGTATAGCAGCTTGAACACTCTGCACCACCATCTAAGAAATATTTTGTGAAGAGTAGGGAGCTTAGGGGGATGTGTGTGATAGCCTTATGCTCTGGCCAAGTGGCTGTCTGTTCCTGGAAAAGAAAGGGAGATGGGGGAATTTCTGGGCCACTTGCTTTGGGAGAACTGTGGGGCCTTGAGGGAGCCGTGGCTGAGGCCCAGTCCCCAGTCCCTAGTCACCATCCACTCATAATTCATTTGAGAGATATGCAGAGCTGTCAGAACTGCCAAAAGCCTCATTGCCAAGGCAGGCTTCTCTCCAAATGGGCTTCTATATTTATGTGAAACCGAAATAAAACACAGCGCTAAAAGGCAACAGGCATACAACCAGGCAATCACTCACAAGTGTGTGTTTAGGGAAAGACAAGACAGTGGGGGTGAGGCCATGAGGGGCAACCCAGAGCAGAATGATGGCTTGGTGAGCCTTAGGGATCTTGACTTAGGTGCAGCCAGAAAGCTGTTCACAGACGATGGCCAGGACAGTTTCAATGTCTCAGTCTTAATACAGCTAACATGGAGACATCAGATGCTGTATTAGTTTTCTGGGGCGGCCATAACCAAGTACCATAAACTTAGTGGCTTAAAAGAACAGAATTTATGCTGTCCCAGTTCTGGAGATCAGAATCGTAAACTCAAAAGGCGTTTCCAGGGCCGTCATCTCCGAAGGCTCCATGGGAGGGTTCTTCCTCAATCTCCCAGCTTCTCGTGGCTGCTGGCATCCTCCGCGTTCCTTGGCTCGTAGCTGCACCACTCCAGTCTCTGCCGCTGTCTTCATATGGACATCTCCCCTGTGTGTCTGCGTCTCTCCGTCTGAAGTTCCCTCTTCTTATAAGGATATCAGTCATATTGGATTTAATGCCCACCATACTCCAATATGGCCTCATCCTGACTTGATTACATCTAGAAAAACCCTGTTTCCCCATAAGGTCGCAGTTACAGGTTCTGGGTGGATATACATTTTGGGGGATTATATTCAATCTTGTCTAGACCCCCAAAACACCCTGTGCCAGGGAAAAGTGTGTTTTTTTTTTAAAGAAATCTTGCTTTCTTAAACTCAGAATAGTGCACCACTTTTCCAGTTTACAAAGGCTCTAGGCAGATGGGAAGGTCGCTGGTCTTGCAGTCTCCCCTCCGGCTCCTCACACAGGCAGGTCTCTCAGAAGTTCAAATGCTTTTAAGACCCCCGTCAACATAACCCAGGAAACTAGAGGTCTCACCACTTTTTAAAGATCTCCATGAAAGGGGATATACAACTTACATTCTTGGTGGACAGGAGAAGGTCCAAACTTCAAATAGGATTGATCAAATCAAACCTCTGTCTGAGCTGTCAGCTGACTAGGGCATAGAAACATCTACTCTGAATTTTATCTCTGAAGATAACTTTAAAGCTTGGACAGATGACTCCTGTTTTTTACTTATTATTATTAGACTTTAAGTTCTGGATACATGTGCAGAACGTGCAGGTTTGTTACATAGGTATACATGTGCCATAGTGGTTTGCTGCACCCATCAACCCGTCATCTATATTAGGTATTTCTCCTTATGCTATCCCTCCCCTCATCTCCACCCCCTGACAGACCCCAGTGTATGGTGTTCCCCTCCCTGTGCCCGTATGTTCTCATTGTTCAACTCTCACTTATGAGTGAGAACATGCACTGTTTGGTTTTCCGTTCCTGTGTTAGTTTGCTGAGAATGATGGCTTCATCCATGTCCCTGCAAAGGACATGAGCTCATTTCTTTTTATGGCTACATAGTATTTCGTGGTGTATATGTGCCACATTTTCTTTATCCAGTCTAATATTGATGGGCATTTCGGTTGGTTCTAAGTCTTTACTATTGTAAATAGTGCTGCAGTTAATATACACGTGCATGTATCTTCACAATAAAATGATTTATAATCCTTTGAGCATATACCCAGTAATGAGATTGCTGAGTCAAATGGTATTTCTGGTTCTAGAGCCTTAAGGAATCACCACACTGCCTTCTGCATGGTGGAAACTAACTTACACTCCCACAAACGGTGTAAAAGCATTCCTGTTTCTCCAGGTCCTCTCCAGCATCTGTTGTTTCTTAACGTTTTAATAATTGCCATTTTTACTGGCATAAGATGGTACCTCATTGTGGTTTTGATTTGCATTTCTCTAATGACCAGTGAGGAGAAGCTTTTTTGCATATGTTTGTTGACCGCTTAAATGTCTTCTTTTGAAAAGTGTCTGCTCGTATACTTAACCCACTTTTTGATGGGGTTGTTTTTTTCCTTGTAAATTTGTTTAAGTACCTTGTAGATTCTGGATATTAGCCCTTTGTCAGATGGATAGATTGCAAAAATTTTCTCCCATTCTGTAGGTTGCCTGTTTACTCTGATGATACTTTATTTGCTGTGCAGAAGCTCTTTGATTTAATTAGATTGCATTTGTCAATTTTGACTTTTGTTGCAATTGTTTTTGGTGTTTTAGTCATGAAGACTTTGCCCATGCCTATGTCCTGAATGGTATTGCCTAGGTTTTTTCCTAGGGTTTTTATGGTTTTAGGTCTTAGGTTTAAATCTTGAATCCATCTTGAGTTGATTTTTGTATAATGTGTAAGGAAAGGGTCCAGTTTTAGTTTTCTGCATATGGCTAGCCAGTTTTTCCAACACCATTTATTAAATTGAGAATCTTTTTCCCATTGCTTGTCTTTGTCAGGTTTGTCAAAGATCAGATGGTTGTAGATGTGTGGTGTTATTTTTGAGGCCTCTGTTCTGTTCCATTGGTCTATACATCTGTTCTGGTATAAGTACCATGCTGTTTTGATTACTGTAGCCTTGGAGTATAGTTAGAAGTCAGGTAGAGTGATGCCTCCAGCTTTGTGGTTTTTCTTTAGGATTGTCCTGGCTTTATAGGCTCTTTTTTGGTTCCATATGAAATTTAAAGTAGCTTTTTAAAAAATTCTGTGCAGAAAGTCATGGTAGCTTGATGGGAATAACATTGAATCTACAAATTACTTTGGGCAGTATGACCATTTTCATGGTATTGATTCTTCCTATTCATGAACATAGAATGTTTTTTCATTTGTTTGTGTTCGCTCTTATTTTCTTGAGCAGTGGTTAATAGTTCTCCTTGAAGAGGTCCTTTGTATCCCTTGCAAGTTGCATTCTTAGGTATTTTATTCCCTTTGTAGCAATTGTGAATGGGAGTTCACTCATGATTTGGCTCTCTGTTGGTCTATTATTGGTGTATAGAATGCTTGTGATTTTTGCACATTGATTTTGTATCCTGAGACTTTGTTGAAGTTGCTTATAAGCTTAAGGTTTTGGGCTGAGACAATGCGGTTTTCTTAATATACAATCATGTCATCTGCAAACAGAGATAATTTGACTTCCTCTCTTCCTATTTGAATATCTTTATTTCTTTCTCTTGCCTACAGAACTTCCAATACTATGTTGAGTAGGAGTGGTAAGAGAGGACATCCTTGTCTTGTGCTGGTTTTCAAAAGGAATGCTTCCGGCTTTTGTCCATTCAGTATGATATTGGCTATGGGTTTGTCATAAATAGCTGTTATTATTTTGAGATATGTTCCATCAATACTTAGTTTATTCAGTGTTTATAGCATAAAGTGTTGTTGAATTTTATCAAAGGTTTTTTCTGCATCTGTTGAGATAATCATGTGGTTGTTGTCATTGGTTCTGCTTATGCGATGGATTATGTTTATTGATTTGTGTATGTTGAATCAGCCTTGCATTCCAGGGATTAAGCTGACTTGATCATGGTGGATAAGCTTTTTAATGTGCTGCTGGATTCAGTTTGTCAGT